GTTACAATCTATCTAGATACTCCCGGGTGAGTAAACCCTATTACTTGTTCAGGTATGACTAATGAATGGTATGAGTAAAAGTTACAATCTATCTAACGTTAAGCTAGAAAATGGGAGGCTCTCGTGGGGTCATCCCACTATTTTTCTAAGCTCACCCTAACAGGTCTAATAAGACACTCCAGCAAAAGGAAGGATCTGGTGTTTGCCCGAATCCACTAACATAATCTCAGCTCGCCTGACTCTAAGTAAGTAGTAGGGTAGCTCCCGTAGGGTCTTCCTATTACACTTTTGAGGGAAAGACTGAGCTCTGAATCTAGTAGTAATAGGAGGAGGCTTCCGTGAAGACCACCTATTATTAACTTTGATTCGGAATTGACACTTGGAGTTGGAATGTTTCCTGAATATTGGGTCCAGTGTTGAGATGGTTCAACATAGACCTCTCAACTACCTGCTTAACTAATAAAATGATACTCCTGTGTGAGTTATCCGTTCACTTGCATTAGATTGCATGAGCTGCTTGGTTGCATGAGAACTGCATGAACTTTGAAGGGTGACTGAGTGCTCCCGTGGGGCGACTCGACTACTCTTCTGAATAACAGATTGTTTAAAATTGATCAAGTAGTGAAAGATTCCCGATTGAATCAACTCACTACTTGCGTATGCCAGGACAAGAAGAAGAGAAAGGGAAAAAGGGAGTGCTGCATCGGGAGCGACTCCAAAGGTTCCTTAAAAGGAACGTAAGAGAAGGCGAATACCGCGGGGAAAAGAAATTAGAAAAGAAAGACACCCCGTGCAACCACAGTTCATTGGAAAAACCGCCACTGGCTTGAGTTGATCTCGGCCAGACTACCACATAAAGCGTCAAAGGGTGTGCTTATACACAAAAGAGAGATTGCAAGGATTGAGAGTAAGGGAAATATGAGTTTCCCTAAGACGATTTAGGATATAGGAAAGAAAGTCCTTGAAATAAAAGGAGGAGGAGTGACAGACAACTCAGGGTAGAAAGAAGCTAGGGGTTAGACTTTGGGATATTGATCCCAAAACTCACAAACCAGATCTAAGGACTTGAACCTTAAATATTGATAAGTGGGAAATCAAGTGGGGGTATTGAATCTTTGTTGACCTGTGTGTGTGCAGGTCCCTGTTTTGATCTACAGCAATTGAAGGAGAAGTCCTACAAAGAGGACTCAATTTTTTGTTATCACTCGATAACAGGTCGGTCGTTACCGATTCAACTTTTCCGCCTTGGCTTGATACCTACATCCAAAATCAAACCCTCTGGTCAGTAAAACTGCCACTTGTGGTCATTGCCTAAATGGTCCTGGTCACTCTCAATGTTCTTTTGAATAAGTGTGAGGGGGGTGGGCATGCATCTCAGGAAAGATAGGGCTGTCATGCATGGTTTGGGGAGTGAGGGACAATGTCAATGGTTGATGGTTGACGCCGTTAGTGCATGGCATGTGAACTTTCTTTGCATTATGTTATGTAGGTCTATTTTGTTCGTGAGTTTGGGATTGAATTGGACCTGATCTGTTGAAGAGTTTTGGACACTCAACACTTGTGAATGTGGGAAGGGTTCCCAGTCACGGTGGTAATACCTCGATATTCATAATCAAAGTATAACTTCTATATTATTTGATGATCAGTCATACGTTGAGTAGAATATAATATCTTTGGTAGTGACAAGGTATTTTGTATATTGATCACAGAGGTCAGAAGAAAAAAGTGTTTTGGGAACAAAAGCGGAGATAGACAACCATCTCAAAGTTCGACCTAAATATCTAACGGGTCAGTCCTAGGCGTCTTACCGCGCGTACCCCATATTATGCTACAGCGATCGAGTAAACGCCCTCGACCGACCTACCTCTACTAAGGCGTGTAAAAGCCTTCGCACGTGGACCGGTAGCTCAGCAGGGATACGCCTACCTGAGGGTGGTGACAGCCCCTCGGGTAGAGGTAAGTTGTACCTCGCGACGTCCCGACCTGTCCAACAGAAAAAATGTGCCAATTTTTTTGCCACGTTGGACCTATGTTTACACCACATTTCAACTGTTTATAAACTGCTGGCCGGGTGTGTGTGTGTATGTTCAACACAAAATGAAGGAAACCAACACTGGCCGTATATTGGGGACACTGAAACTTGTGTGTTCAACTGTTGGACCAACTGACCAACTGTTGAAAAACAGTTGGTCCAACTGTTGATCCATTGTTGGTGGCTTGTTGAAATGTTGCTGAAAGTTGTTGGAATGTTGTTGAAACTTTGTTGAAATGTGTTCAACCGTGTTGAAACTGTGTTGGAATTTGTTGAAGCAGGGTATTGGACCGTATGCACTAGCAGTTTCTACACAGGTCATTTGCGTTGTCCGGGGGTGGGTTGTGATTGTGTTTTCCTCGTTTTGTGGTGAGCACGTTTAGGAGTACGAAGATCACATGGACGAGCGTTGGGTGTGCGCGCGCCGACCTGGCACGTGATGATTGCACTGACTGATGGAATTGAGGGATAAGAGACTGATGATGAGAGAGAGAGAGAGAGAGAGAGAGAGAGAGAGAGAGAGAGA